TATCATAAAAAAGCAATTTTATTAAAGGCAAATAACATCCAGGGATCTACTAAATGCTGCCTCTTCTAACACTGTGTCAATTGGTCGCATTTGAATAAGTGATAGTATTTTATTTTTAATCAAGCACTGTGAAATACGTTATGTGTAACAGTGTTGTGCCAAAGGGGAGTTTATGATCATGTTCCATGCACAATAAATTTGGCAGATGTTTACAGTAAAGAAATCACTAATCTCAACGTAAAAGAAAACACACAAGTTAATATTTGGTTAAAGTTTTAGCAACGTAATTTTGGGTTTTACCATAATTACTATTGTCGGTTGTTTTTTTTGTTTTCATATTGTTAAGAAATGTGTAATTTCAATTTAATGATGTTTGCAAGAATATTATAATTCTACCAAAATTCGTTGATGTTATATAAGCAGAAAATCACTGGAAAATTTACTGGTTATAAACTTATATGCACGTCCCAATCCATAACAGTTACTGTCTGTTGGAACATGCACACATATTTTGTTATATTAATAATCACATTTATATTTAGTCAAATAAATTTGTTTTAATATTAAGAATGTGCCATATTCCGCTCAAAATAAAACTTAGGTAACATATTTATAATACCACAAAGAAATTTCGTTTTGACATATTGTCTTACATAATGTTTTTTTGTGATATCTATGACATGTTGTTATTATCAACATGTCTGCATTATCTTCTTTTATTTATAAACTTAAAAAGAATTACAGCTTTTCAAAAACACTGCCAGAAAGGGAGGGTAAAATTTGAAATTGGAGAGGTCACTTGGTTAAGGTAAATTTATACATATACTGAAACTTTGTTGTTAGAACTTGCTAGGAGATCCCTTCCTGTATTCTCAGTGAAATTGTTTAATTTAAGAGGGAATAGATAAGAGGTAATTCAAGTGGAAACTTGGTTGCATTAATGAGTGTGATGGAGATTTATTAATGATGAAGATAAAGGGAACTGACGGATCAGATATAGAATATTTTACAGCTTATTTAATTAAGAAGACTGATGGATCAGCTAACCTTTTTGTGCCTCCACTTTAGCGGGGGATGGGGCAATTAGATTTACTCTTGTCTGTCCGTCCATCCGTACGTCCTTCTATCAGTCTGTTCTCTTTTGTGTTGCACGTAACTCAAAAATTATTTGACCTAGAGTCATGACACTTTATTGATCAGCATGTGCAGCTGGGTATTTTCTTGTGGATTTATTTAGTATTTTTAGAGTTATTGCCATTGACTTAGTAAAAATTTGCAATTTTCAACTTGTGTCGCATGTTCCTCAAAAAGTATTTAACCTAGGGTCATGAAACTTTACAGGAATGTTTATTAGCATGTGTAGTTGTGCGCCATGGGTTTTGCTTGTTGATTTATCCAGTGTTTGTATAGTTATTGCCCTTGACTTAGTAAAAACCGTTTCATTATGTTGTATTATTTGTTCTTTGAATGCTTGAGTTAGAATCAACCAACTTTACAGGAATAATGATCAACATCACTGTGAAGCTTTGCACTTGAACTTTGAATGTGGATTTTTTTTAGTTTTGTAAGAGTTATTGCCCTTGACTTACAGTTGTATAGATTTATAATTTTTTTAACTTCTTCATGCATAGCTCAAAAAGTATTTGACTTGTAGGGAAGACGGACTTGTAGACCTGAATGTTTACAAGAACGTTGGTCAGCATGTGTACTTATGCACCTTGGGGTTTGCTTGTGGATTTATTCAGTATTTGTAAAGTTCTTGCCCTTTACTTAGTAAAAGATTTTTTAGTTTTCAACTTGTGGCATATGTAGTCCAAAATGTATTTTACCTAGAGTCATAAGGTTGACAGAACGGTGGAGTGTGGGGGAGCCCTTTGTCCTTCGGACACATTTCTAGTCAAAGCTAGTTATTGATATTTTTGATATCTTTAATTTCAAATATAATTAAATAAATGCTACAGAATGTTCAGTACTATAAGTTTAGTTTTGCATATCTTCGATGTTTTCTGGTTCAATGAATTGTGTCAATAGTTATGTCCCTAAAAAAATATTTATAAAATTTGTGGACACTACTCATTTTAAACCAGTATGAAACTTTGCAAGATTACAAGATTGAACTTAAGGCAAGTACTTTCACATATTGTACCGGGTTAATGTTTTTTTTTAGCTCCACTATACGAAGTTTTGGTGCAGTTAAATATTTTTCAACATAACTTTTTCATGTCTTAAGGTATCAACTTCAAACTTCAAATATATGTACCTTATCATTAACTACATGTTATATGACAAGGTTCATAACTCTAGCACGAATATTGCAAGAATTATCTCCCCATGAAGTTAGATTTTTTTCCCTTAAAATATGTTATTTTTTAATAAAACTTTTTAAGTTTTAAAGGTATCTACCTCAAACTTCAAATACTTATTCCTTATCATCAATTACATCTTATGTGACAAGGTATATAACTCTTGAAGCAATATTCTCAGATTTATCTGTCTTTGAACTTAGGATTTTCTTTAAGAAATATTATAACTTCTTTGATTTTAATGTATCTATTTCAAACTTCAAATATATATTTCTAATCATTACACACATGTTGTGTGACAAGGTTCATAACTCTAGCGTGACTATTTCCTGAATTATTCCCCTTGAACACGAATTTATGTTAACACATGTTATTTTTTTACTATAACTTAATACATAATTATACATAATTGTTTTTTCTTTCAAAGTTTGCTTCCTTACTGCGTCCAGTAAGAAAATGTAAAAATTTAGTTGTTCACAATTATTTCGGATTATAAAAGGAATGCATTTTATATTACTATAAATAGAACATAATCCAGTTTTTTTTTCTATAAAAATGATGAAAACAGGATTTATTTTCAACAAGTGGTATGAAAAGAAAATTCATGAGTGGAGGTAGCTATGTGTGAAATATGATAATTTTCATACCACAAGATGAAAATAAATAGAGGATATTTGTTTAGTTCAGTGTAAGATCGGAATATATTTCACCGAGTGAGCACCAAAAGGTATATTTCACGAGTGGCGCAGCCACGAGTGAAATATGAACTTTTGGTGTTCACAAGATGAAATATATTTCGATCTTACACTAAACTAAACAAATTTTCTTTTTATTATATGCAAAGAAACGTTTTAAAAAGACATTAAACCTAATACTGAATGAAAAGCGCGCCAAATAATAATACAACGTGACGTCATTTACGACGTCACGTCATTAAGTTGGTACCCAGTACTGTGCACGCTGGTATTTCACTGAAACAACGTAAGGGGCTTAAATTCAAAACAGTGAAATTATCAAAGTGATAATTTCACTGTTTCAAACAGTGAAATTACCAGTTTTATATCACTGATATATTTCTATAAATCACCGAAAAGCATGTAATAAATTCTTTACTTATGGAAAACTTTTCTCTTTATTATATACTTTTTTCTCTTTTTTGATTTGTGTACTGGCAGAATTTAAAAAAGTATAATCCAGCAGGATACCAGTGAAAATACGGAAAAGAAAATATGCTTTTTTATTTCATCAATATTTCTCATTATTTCATTTATAAGTATATAATAAAAATATTTAATAATTTCAGTTAGAACAATCCAGCGTTACAAAAAATGGGTCATTTTCGGATAGCTGAGATTACAATTAACAAATATTTAACTTCCAGATAAATGTAGTGACATCAATACAGGTAATATACATGTTATTTATGAACCTCTCCCTGGGGCATAATTGGGGGAAGCAATACATACCAAACACAGGAAGTGTCATTATGAGTTGACAGGAAATAATGTCTAATACTAGTGACTTTGAAAAATGTTTAATTTTCTCTTATATCCTGTGTATATTGTATAATATCCTTTGTATATTCTAAAAAAAATGTTTGATCATGAAATTTGCCAAATTAATGAATGATAGGTCATTCAAATATGGTTATCCTCAGGATATTTCTTTTAAAAATAAAACTCTGGTAGCATTATAAAAAAATCTAACCTGTTTTTCGACCCATGAGAAATGTAAGACTTATATTTTCGTACATTTGCTGAAAATGTCAAGATTTTTTTTACAGAGTTTATTAAATATCATGAAAACAAGCAGAATTACAAATGAATAGGGTATGTATATGCTATAATGAAAACTGTATTTGAGATTTTATGTGTATTCTTTGAAAATAAGCCTGAAACCAATGAAATCGAGCCGTGAGAAATGTAAGACTATCAAAAAATGCCCATCTTAGAAAGTTTTAAAAAGGCAGTTGCCTCTTTTTTTTCTTTTTAAATATGGGCTTGTCATCTATTGCCAATTCCTGACTGATGAATATTAACCTTAATGCAGATCTAGAAAAAAAAGAGAGACAAATTATTGATGAAATACCAGTTTCTTGACCCGTGAGAAATGAAAGACTTTTATATTTTTGTACATTTTCTGAAATGCTGAGAATTTTTTCTTGCTGAATGCATTAAACATGATGAAAACAATCAAAACCACAACTGTATAGGATATGTGTCTGCTTTTGACAAATATTTTTGTATTTTATATGTATTCTTTGATATTACCCTTGAAACTAATGAAATCTAGCCGTGAGAAATGTAAGACTATAAAAAAATGCCAATCTTAGAAAGTTTTGAATAGGCAATTAGCCTCTTTATACTATTTTCGGTTAAATATGGACTTGTCATCTATTGCCAATTCCTGACTGATGAATATTTACCTTATAATGCAGATTTATAAAAAAAGAGACAAATTATTGAAGAAATACCAGTTTTTCGACCCGTGAGAAATGTAAGACTTTTATATTTTTGTACATTTTCTGAAATGTTGAGAATATTTTTCTTTCTGAATACATTAAATATGATGAAAACAACCAAACTCAACACTGAATAGGATATGTGCCACCTATTGAGAAATATTTTTGAAATTGTATCTGTATTTTTTGATAATACCCTTGAAACTAATGAAATCTAGCCGTTAGAAATGAAAAACTATAAAAACTAGAAATGTGTCATCATGCCACGGATGCCCCCGCATGCAGCCAAAATTTCAAATGTTATAATATTTAGTTCCAAATTTGTTTGCACAAATTATTTTTTTCATTCTAAGTTCAAAGCCCTTAAAACTTTTCAATGTTAACACAAACCATTTTTATACAATGTTCAAGGCACTGAAATTATTCAGTCTTAACCATTTTTATACAATGTTCAAGGCACTGAAATTAATCAGTCTTAACCTTTTAAAAATAGCATATTGCATATTTGTAGCCAACATAATGGCTATATACATTTCCACAAAAGTATGAGTGCTGAAACTGAAAGTTCAAAATTTTTCCAACATTCAGGAAAGATAAGTTTGTCTAAAATCATTGAACCACGACCAAATTCAAACTTAAACTGCTTATTCCTAAGATGTATCTATATTATTTTCAAATGAAAGGGACATAACTCTGCCAAAAAATCATCGAACCATGACCAAATCCTAACTTGACCTGCGTATTCCTTTGACATATCCATATGTCAATTTTGAGTTGAATATGTAACACTGTTGGGTTGATAATGAACAGAAACTGTAAATTTCATATCATTTTCAAAGTGAAAGGGGCATTACTCTGCCAAAAATCATTGCACCATGACCAGATTCGAACTTGGTCTGCGCATTCCAAAAACATATCCATATGTCAAATTTGAGTTGAATGTGTAATATTGTTGGGGAGATAATAAACGGAAACTGAAAATTTCATATTATTTTTAAAGTGAAAGGGGCATAACTCTGCCAAAAATCATCGAACCATGACCAAATTTGAAATTCACCTGCGCATTCCTTTGACGTATCAATATGTCAAATTTGAGTTGAATGTTTAATACTGTTGGGGAGATAATAAACAGAAACTGAAATTTTCATATTATTTTCAAAGTAAAAGGGGCATAACTCTGCCAAAAATCATCGAACCATGACCAAATTTAAACTTGGCCTGCGCATTCCTTTGACGTATCGATATGTCAAGTTTGAGCTAAATGTGTTGTACGATTGGGGAGATAATGAACGGAAACTGAAAATTTCATATCATTTTCAAAGTGAAAGGGGCATAACTCTGCCAAAAATCATTGAACCATGACCAAATTTGAACTTGACCTGCGCATTCCTTTGATGTATCCATATGTCAAGTTTGAGTTGAATGTGTTGTACCATTAGGGAGTTAATGAATGGAAACTAGAAATTTCATATTATTTTCAAAGTAAAAGGGGCATAACTCTGCCAAAAATCATCGAACCATGACCAAATTTGAACTTGACCTGTATTTTCTCATGACATATCAATATGTCAAGTTTGAGTTGGATGTGTTGTACCGTTGGGGAGATAATGAACGGAAACTGAAAATTTCATATTATTTTCAAAGTAAAAGGGGCATAACTCTGCCAAAAATCATCGAACCATGACCAATTTCGAACTTGACCTGTTTTTTCTCATGACATATCCATATGTCAATTTTGAATTGAATGTTTTGAACCGTTTGGGAGATAATGAACGGAAACTGAAAATTTCATATTATTTTCAATGTAAAAGGGGCATAACTCTGCCAAAATCATCGAACCATGACCAATTTCGAACTTGACCTGTATTTTCTCATGACATATCCATATGTCAAATTTGAGTTCAATATGTGCAAGGGTTATTAAGATAATGAACGGAAACTGATGATGACGGAAGGACGGAAGGACGGAATGACGGAATGACGGAATGACGGAATGACGGAACAGGGTAACACTATATGCCCCTGCCATTATATGGCGGGGGCATAAAAATGCCAATCTTAGAAAGCTTGAATAGGCAATTTGCCTCTTTATACTTTTTTCTGTTAAATATGGGCTTGTTATCTATTGCCAATAACTGACTGATGAATATTTACCTTAATGCAGATTTTTTTTTTTCAAAAACAGACAAATTATTGAAGAAATACCAGTTTTTTCCTGACTGATGAATGTTTACCTTAATGCAGATTTTTTTTTTTTCAAAAACAGACAACTTTTTGAAGAAATACCAGTTTTTTGACCTGTGAGAAATGTAAGACTTTTATATTTTTTGTACATTTTCTGAAATGTTGAGAATTTTTTTCTTTCTGAATACATTAAATATGATGATAACAACCAATATCACAACTGAATAGGATATGTGTCTGCTATTGAGATATATTTTTGAGATTTTATATGTATTCTTTGAAAATTACCCTTTGCCAATGAAATCTAGACATGAGAAATGTAAAACTATCAAAAAATCTTAGAAAGTTTTGTATTGGCAATTTGCCTCTTTACACTTTTTTCTGTTAAATATGTGCTTGTCATCAATTGCCAATTCCTAATTGATGAATATTTACCTTATAATGCAGGTTTAATAAAAAAACAAATTATTGAAGAAATACCAGTTTTTTGACCTGTGAGAAATGTAAGACTTTTATATTTTTGTACATTTTCTGAAAAATTGACATTTTTTTCTTGCTGAATGCATTAAATATGATGAAAACAATCAAAATCACAATTGAATAGGGTATGCGTCTGCTATTGAGAAATATTTTTGAAATTTTATATGTATTCTTTGATATTACCCTTGAAACTAATGAAATCTAGCCGTGAGAAATGTAAGACTATAAAAAATGTAAATCTTAGAAAGTTTTGAATAGGCAATTTGTCTTTTTACATTTTTTCTGTTAAATATGTGCTTCTTATCTATTGCCAATTCCTGACTGATGCATATTTACCTTAATGCAGATTTTTTTTTTCAAAAACAGACAAATTATTGAAGAAATACCAGTTTTTTGACCCGTGGAAAATATAAGACTTTTATATTTTTGTACATTTTCTGAAATGTTGAGAATTTTTTCTTGCTGAATGCATAAAATATGATGAAAACAATCAAAATCACAACTGAATAGGATTTGTCTCTGCTCGAGGAATATTTTTGAAATTTTGTATGTGTTCTTTGATATTACCCTTGAAACTAATGAAATCTAGCCGTGAGAAATGTAAGACTATAAAAAATGCCAATCTTAGAAAGTTTTGAATAGGCAATTTGCCTCTTTATACTTTTTTCTGTTTAATATGTGCTTGTTATCTATTGCCAATTCCTGATTGATGAATATTTACCTTATAATGCAGATTTTAAGAAAAAAGAGACAAATTATTGAAGAAATACCAGTTTTTTGACCCGTGAGAAATGTAAGACTTTTATATTTTTGTACACTTTCTGAAATGTTGAGATTTTTTTCTTTCTGAATACATTAAATATGATGAAAACAACCAATATCACAACTGAATAGGATATGTGTCTGCTATTGAGAAATATTTTTGAGATTTAATATGTTTTCTTTGAAAATTACCCTTTGCCAATGAAATCTAGCCGTGAGAAATGTAAGACTATCAAAAAATGCCCATCCTAGAAAGTTTTAAATATGCAGTTTGCCTCTATATACTTTTTTCTGTTAAATATGTGTTTTTCATATATTGCCAATTCCTGATTGATGAATATTTACCTTAATGCAGATGTTTTTTTCTAAATGACAAATTATTGAAAAACTATAAGTTTTTTGACCCGTGAGAAATGTGATACTTATATTTTTGTACATTTTCTGAAATGTTGAGAATTCTTATGCCGGGCATATAGTAATTGAACCGTCCGTCCGTCTATCCGTCCGGCCGTACCAATGGCTTCTTAGTTAACACACTTACTAATCAATACAAAGAACATGATCTGGTCAAGTTACATAACTATGGCTTCCATATTTACCAATTTTGCCCTTTTCAGCACTTAGAAAATGAATAATGGTTAACCTAAAACGGCAAGTTGGAAATATCTTAAGTTCTATCTATACTAATGGCTTGATAATTCCCACACTTAGTACATGATACTGCCAAGTTATATATAACTGTGTCATCCATATTTCCCAGTTATTTCCCTTTTTCACTTTGAAAATAGGGCCTTGTCTGGTTAACCTATTCCGGCAAGTTGGATTTATCGTAAATTTCTCTTAATTGCTTAATTTATTTAATGATATCTTGCATATTTGGTAGGTGGATACCTTTGATGGTCCTCTAATTTTTTGTGGAGTAAGTGGTCTCTAGGGACAAGGTCAACGTCACTGGTTAAGAAAATAAATTTAGATATTTTTGCTCATACAGCCTTTATTTTTGGTTGATGTCTTTCATGTTTAAAACAAACATGCCAAAGGAGGTCATCCTTCTTTGGGTATAGTAAGGGGTCATTTGGGTCAAGGTCAATGTCACCAATGTCAAGGTCACCAATGTTGAAAATAGATTTTTACATTTGTACAGGTGTATTAACCATATTCTATAGACAGATGTCATTTATAATTGATAGGAACATAAAATTTGATGAAGTTAGTGGTCAGTTGGGTCAAGGTCACCAGTGCCAGTAATAGATTTTTACACTTTTGCTCATACAGCCTTTATTTATTGACAGATATATTTCATATTTGGTAGGAAGATAACTTGCATGGTATTCATCCGTTTGATTGAGGTAGGGATCAGTAAGTTAAGGTCACTTGTGCTAAAAATTGATTTTTACACTTTTGCCCATACATGTACAGGCTTTATTTATTGACAGGTGTATTTCATATTTGGTAGGAAGATAACTTGCATGGTATTTTTTTTTTTTTGATTGAGTTAGGGATCAGTTTGTCAAGGTCACTAGTGCTAAAAATAGAGTTTTACACTTTTGCCCATACAGCCTTTATTTATTGACATAAATATTTCATATTTGGTAGGAAGATAACTTGCATGTTATTCTTACTTTGGATTGAGTTAGGTGTCAATTGGGTCAAGGTCACAAGTGCTAAAAATAGATTTTTACACTTTAGCCCATACAGCCTTTATTTATTGACATATTTATTTCATATTTGGTTGGAAGATAACTTGCATGGTATTCTTCCTTTGGATGGAGTTAGGGGTCAGTTTGATCAAGGTCATCAATGCTCAAAATAGATTTTAAGATTTTGCCCATACAACCTTTATTTATTGACAGGTGTATTTCATATTTGGTAGGAGGATAACTTATATGTGTCAGTGGGTCAAGGTCAAGGGTGCCAAGTATAGATTTCTTACATTTATATATATTTAATAAAGTTGAATATTTAACACTTCAGAAGTCATAGCAATGACTTGGCAACTTATATATTTCATAATTACAAAATGTCATGACTCTGTCAAGCTATATAACTTGTGTTTACAATTTTTTGGCAATGTTTCTGTCCATAACTGAGTGAATGGGTAAACATTTTTTGAAATATTGCTACTGACAAGAATCGGAACCGGGGGCATTTGTGTTTAACAAACACGTTCTTGTTTTTTACTGAATCATCCATAGCGAAAAAAGCAAAATCACAACTGAATATGATATGTGTCTGCTATAGAGAAATATCTTTCAGATTTTACATGTATCCTTTGAATATTGCCTTTTAAACCATCAAAGTGTAGCCTTGAGAAATTTAAGACTTTTTTGTGGAAATGTTGAGAAAATTGTTTTACTGAATACTTTAAATAAAATGAAAACAAGCAAAATCAGAACTGAATATGACATGTGAATGCTATAGAGAAATATTTTGGAGATTTTACATGAATTCTTTGAATATTGCCTTTGAAACCATCAAAGTGTAGCTGTAAGACTATCATAAAAGTGTCCATCTTTAAAACTTTAAACAGTTAACTATCATTATTAGCTCGACTTTTTTTTGAATAGATTGTCTTCGAACTTGAACATAATGATCTTCAAGGATATCAAAAATAACAAGACAGACCTTGACCTTCACTCATAACTGACCTTGACTTTGAAGGTCAAATTTTTGAAATTTTCATTTTTTTGGCTATTATTGGCTGAAACTTTGTTATTTTTGAATGGACTGTCTTCAAACTTGAACGTAATAATCTTCAAGGATAACCCTTAAAATTAACCAGACAGACCTGACCTCCACTCATTATGTCCTTGACTTTGAAGTTCCAATTATTGAATTTTTCATTGTTTTGGCTGTAACTGGCTGTAACTTTGCTATTATTGAAGGGATCAACTTCATATTATTACAGCACATACTTAAGCACAATTCCTTGTTGTTTATCAAACACTTGGGCTCTTTCGTGACCTTGACCTTAAAGGTTAAATTACTGAATTTTCTCAGATTTGTGCATTAAATGACCATATGAGCCGTGTCACAACAAAACCAACATAGTGCGTTTGCGACCAGCATGGATCCAGACCAGCCTGCGCATCCGCGCAGTCTGATCAGGATCCATGCTGTTCGCTATCAGTTTCTGTACTTGTTATAGGGTCTGTAAGCGAACAGCATGGATCCTGATCAGACTGCGCGGATGCGCAGGCTGGTCTGGATCCATGCTGGTCGCAAACCCATTATGTTGGTTTTGTCATGACGCGGCTCATATATATTTATTGGTGTGTGTGTGTGTGTGTGAGAGTGTGTATATATTGAGGCTCCCACGTTTACAATTTAAACGGTGGTACCTCTATGTACTATATACACCATATATATGTCGCCAAATGATGACTTACTTTCTGTTTTTAATACATGTACAAATTAAGAATGTCGAGGGCTCATCACGATTGAGTCAGCACATATTTTCTGTATTGTATCTTCATTTTTTACCAAAAATGTATTATGTCACGAGTATTGCACGGAAATGCTGTGTGGAGAGTTGTAAACATCCATTTTTTGTTTTTATGCCACCGAAGAATCTGCGATGCGGTGGCATATAGCGATTCACCTGTGCGTGTATGTGTGTGTGTGT